GCGTCAGCGTCCTCCTCCTGTCCCTGGCAAGCACCGGATGTCTTTGCGTTCGTCCACTGCTCCTTTGCGTGCCCCTTTGCCTTCTCCTCCTGAGTCCTCTCTTCCTGCGCCTGCCGACCCTGAGTCGGACTCTCTTCGTGCTTCCAGTCCTACTGTCACGCGTTTCCTTGCTACTGTCGTCAGTGACCCCTCTTTTGAGTCCACTGCTGCGTCTGCTCTAGTCGCTTAGCTCGTCGACTTTGCTGCCCGCTGTCGTCTCGACTACGCTGCTAGTCTTGTTGCTGAGTCTGCGTCTGTCTGTTCTCCGTCCGTCGGGGGTGAGTGTGCTCTTGGCACGGACGTCCTAGAGGACAGGCAGGAGGAGTTACAGTGTCTAGCGGCTGCTTCACCTCATCTCGCGTCTGTACTGCTTGCCCCTGAGGAAGACCCGGATGCACTAGACATCCCGACTCCGCGTTCTTACGCGGAGGCTGTAGAGGGTCCCTACTCCTCTCAGTGGCAGGCAGCTATGGATGCAGAGATGGCTTCCTGGAAGTCCACAGGCACCTACGTTGACGCGGTTCCCCCCCCTGGGGCGAACATCGTCAGTGGCATGTGGATCTTCAGGGTGAAGTGGCCGCCGGGCTCTCCACCTGTCTTCAAGGCGCGGTACGTTGCTCGTGGCTTCAGTCAGCGGCAGGGAGTTGACTACTTTCAGACCTTCTCTCCCACCCCGAAGATGACCACTCTTCGGGTGCTGCTACACATAGCCGCTCAGCGCGACTACGAGCTTCACTCTCTCGACTTCAGCACTGCGTTCCTGCAGGGTAGCCTGCACGAGGAGATCTGGCTGCGCCGTCCACCTGGCTTCACTGGGACTTTCCCTCCTGGCACCTAGTGGAGCCTCCGACGGCCAGTCTACGGTCTCCGCCAGGCTCTTGGGTTTGCTCCTTCTACTGCTGACCCGTCGCTGTTTCTGCGCACCGACTCTTCTCTGCCGCCGTTCTACATCCTCGTGTACGTCGACGACTTGGTCTTTGCCACAGCGGACACTGCTGGACTCGCCTACGTGTAGTCCGAACTACTGAAGAGACACACGTGCACAGACCTGGGTGAACTGCGCAGCTACCTTGGCTTGTAGATCACTCGGGACAGAGCACGCCGCACCATTACCTTGACTCAGTCACACATGGTGCAGCAGGTCCTTCAGCGCTTCGGCTTCACGTACTCCTCGCCTCAGGCCACTCCTCTGCCTACTCGCCACTCACTCTCAGCTCTGCCTTCGGATGAGTCCGTAGAGTCGAGTGGCCCGTATGCAGAGCTTGTTGGCTGCCTCATGTACCTGATGACCTGCACACGGCCTGACCTTGCATACCCTCTGAGCATTCTTGCACGCTATGTTGCTCCTGGTAGACACCGACCAGAGCACATGGCTGCAGCGAAGAGGGTATTGCGCTACCTGTGCAGTACGTCGGGCATGGGGCTAGTGCTTGGAGGGCGGAGTCCAGTGGTCCTTACAGGCCACGCGGACGCTTCTTGGGCTGACGACCAGGCTACGCAGCGGTCGTCACAGGGTTACACCTTCAGTCTTGGTTCCGGCTCTGTCTCTTGGCGGTCTACCCGTTCGTCTTCGGTTCTCGGCTCCAGTTGTGAGGCTGAGATCTACGCCGGGGCCATGGCTGCACAGGAGCTTCGCTGGCTCACCTATCTGCTGACTGACCTTGGAGAGCCGCCTCGTTCTCCTCCAGTGCTGTACGTAGACAACAAGGCCATGCTGGCCTTGTGTCGAGAGCAGCGCTTGGAGCACAGAACAAAGCACATTGCTCTCCGCTACTTCCTTGCTCGTGAGCTGCAGCAGCGTGGTCAGTTGCGACTTGCGTACGTGGCCTCTGAGGCCAACACTGCTGATGTGTTCACCAAGGCACTTGCGCCTTGTGACCATCAGCGCTTTTGCACCCAGCTGGGTCTTGTACCTGTCTTGCCTCACTTGCTCTCCTCTTGACTTTACTTGTACTGTGACATATATATATACCTGCTCTTGCTTGTGTAGTTTTATATATATGTCTGTACTCTTGCATGTGAACTGGCCTCTGGCCCTGCGCTTGTGCTCGGACTGTGTGGTGACTTTGTGATCCACCCTGAGCTTGCTTTGCTTTGCTTGACTGGTCTTGTGACCCCTTGTTCTCCCCCACTTTGCCTATGGGGGTGTGTGAGATTACTATAGCTGATGCATGTTTGTAGGCTATAGTGGGGTAGCACATATGGGGTACAGCTTTCTAGGGTTGTATTTGTACCCAACTCTGACTTAGTCATTTCATTCCTGTTGACCTATATTCACACGGACAGACCATCGCTCTCACAGTACCTTCGCGCACAGCCCCACCTCAACCCACGACAGATTCGGTGGCTCGACTTCCTCGAGTCGAATTTTCACTATACGGTCACATACAAAAAAGGAGCCTCAAATATCGCCGACGCACTGACCCGCCCCACTGCCCAGATCCATGCAATACTACTCGCTCAGACCAGCCCGCTACTTACAGGCCTATTTACGCACGGATATCAAACAGACCCATTCTTCACAGGAGGAAATTCGCAGCAATTCGCAGCAGCCAAGGGTATCTACTACGTAAAAGCTGGAACAGACGGCATCTGGGTACCAGGGTACACATTACTACGGGAACTATTATTACAGGAGGCACACGACGGCGTTACCTCAGGACATTTCGGGGTAGAAAAAACACGGCAGCAGCTGCAGCGGTACTACTACTGGCCAGAAATGTTGACCGACGTGCAACGACACGTGGCATCGTGTCCCACTTGCCAGCTCATGAAGTCAAGCAGGAAGCGGCCGGCGGGACAATTGCAACCAATCCCACCCCCAGAGCGTGCTTGGCAGCAGGTGACGATGGACTTCGTCAAGGGGTTACCAGCTGGGGCGAGTGGGAATGACGCGATCCTGGTCGTCGTCGATCGACTGACGAAAATGGCACATTTCGCAGCATGCAGGAAATCAATCACAGCCAAGGAAACGGCCCGACTCTTCATCACCACCGTCGTTCGACTACACGGGATACCAGCGTCAATCATCAGCGATAGGGACACGAAATTTACCAGTAACTTCTGGCGGAACCTATGGCAGCAGTTCGGCACGCGACTTCAATTCAGTTCGTCATATCACCCCGAAACCGACGGACAAACGGAACGGACCAATCAGACAATGGAGCAGCTGATTCGAGCCACGTGCAACGATCCAAACACATGGGAGCAGCAGCTGCCTCTCATCGAGTTCGCATACAACAATGCACCATCAGCCACGACACAACAGTCGCCATTTTACTTGAACTACGGACAGGACCCAACAGTACCCATGACACCGAACCCCGACAATCCCGTCCCACGAGCACAACAATTCACCGAGATTCTGCAAGCAGCACGGATCAGGGCAGCAGAAGCAATAAAAAAAAAATCAAATATCATCGCTAAGCGCAACGCCGATCGCCACCGCAGACCCGTCACTTATCAGCCCGACGACCTCGTTTTACTCGACACTCAGAATCTCCGCCTGCCCATCACTCCAAAACGTCGCCCTCGATACTGTGGGCGATTTCGAATCAGTCACATGATCACACCTGTCACCGCGCACCTCCTCCTTCCTGCTGACTGGTACGTCAGCCCCTCATTCCACGTCAGCCTACTTCGCCCTTACGTACCATCCACCAGCCAACTCCTACGACATCAACCCTCCAGCATGACACGACCACCAACCGAACCCGTCATCACCCCCGACAAAATCTTGAGCCACTGAGTTCACGACCCTCGAGGAGCCCAAAAAGTGGAGTTTCTGATCCGCTGAAAAGATCGTACCCCCACCGAGGACAACAAGGTTCCCCTGGACAAAGTTGAAACACACCGTGTCGTCACGGACTAGCCGAAACTTCAGAGACGTCCACGTGCTTTCATAAGGAGGACCTCCTTAGGAGGGGGGGTAGTGTAAGGAAATTCCCTTTTCCTTACTTCGGATCCCTGCTCAATGCGTACATCACTGTAGCACCTCAGTCCGCACCGTTACCACTCGCGACCATCGCATCATTCATCATCCCGCCATTTTCGCACATCGCATCCCGACCTCATGGCTCGGCTGGTAACCCGCGCTCCGGGCCTACGCTTCGACACTTTCCCAACCTCAGTCCCAGGCTCGTCGCGCGACCATTACCGTTACCACAGTAGTTTCGCTATATATTGTTCGCTCATGCCTTCGCTCATTGTACTCTTGCTTAGATAGTGGAATTCTCGTTCGTTCACTCAATTGCACTCGTAACAACCAACGAGTACAATCTACACCCCGCCGAGCTGGTTTCATCCGCACACTCAAATCGGACGACCAGGCCGTGCCAGGCACGGCGGCGTGTGACGCGCCAACGGGGCACATCCGCAAGCGAGGCTGGCCGCGTCGTGGTGTGTGTGGTTCCGCCAATTCTCCCCGCACTGCGCAGGTCAAAACTGTCAAGGCGGTCGGGACGAACAGCAGCGAGATGGAACGTTGCGCGGGGCACCACACCAATCCGAATGATCCCCCATGGGCGCGTTGTTACCAATTTGCACCATCGTGTACCAAGCTGCAACAAGCGATACGCCTTTCTGGAACTAGTGCCTCCCCCTCTTCGATCCACCACGGTTTCCCCTGTCGGACCTAGGGAACTCCGGTACATGTCAGCTCGCTTGAACAGAGAAGAGGTTTTTCCCGCATTCATTCGCTGCGTTGCGTTTCAAAGCGGAAGCTACTCATACCACTGTTTACCGTGCGGGAAGTCGATTTACCGCACAGAGACAACAAACGATTGGGGGGGACAAAGCACGCGAAGTTGACAAGATGGCTCCAGAACACACTGTGCTGTTCAGCTTTTTCAATACACGCCACTAGTGCAAAGCGAGGCAATATCTCACTAGTGGTCTGTACAGCAAGACGTCTTACCTTTAGTTTAGGCATTTAAATATTTAGAAAGCAGCACCTCGGGAAGATGTTAACAAAAACTTGGTGCGACTCGTTTCAATCGCTTCGTCGCTTCATAGGACTTCATTCGTAGAAGACTCGTCAGCAGAGGCGTGCATATAGTGTCTGTTCTTACCCCTTCATATTATGTTAGGATAGCGCCTAGGTTACCTATTACTGTGGATAGTGTTCAGACTCATTTGCGGCGCGAGGACTCCACCCGCATTAAGGTAACAAGCGATCAATTTAACAGCTTTCTCTCTTTTCTCCGTTTCTTGCGTCGCTCTCGCCCATCCCCGCCCACGTCACTCGCCGTCGCCCCGTTCGCCAGCTCCATTCGCCTGTCGTCACTTGCGTACTCGCTAATTTCCCGCCCCACCCTACTCTATGCCCACTCAGCGCCACACTCTCTCAACTCTGCGCGGCTTCACTCAACCCCATCTTCACCCTTACTCCCCTTCATGCTTGCGCAATTCTCCCCCCCTTCGTCACCCCAGCCCTCCCCCTCCGCGTGCTCCCCCCGCCATGGGGAACTGCTTCTCCACGCCGCCGCCGTCGCCCAGAAAGCCTCCGCAGCAGCAACCGCAGCCGCGCCCCCCGCCTCCGCCGGCCGCGCGGCCAATCCCCAACGGTCACCCGCCTCCCGCGCCGCCGCACGCTCCGGCGCCAGCGCCGGCGCCACAGCCGGTGTCGCCGAGGCAACCAGGTGTGGCTGCCCCGCGCTCTCTTTTCTGCTCGTCGAACCCTCCTCGCTCGCGTCATTCGGTCCCACTCCATCCACCCTTCCCACTTCCCTGCAACCCCCTCCCCTCCTTCGATCTCGTTGCAACTTCCATTCCACCTGACCTCGTACGCGCGACCCCTCTGTCCCCGTTCTTGCACGCTGGGTGTGAAGCATCACAGCCCTCTCAACCCCACCCACCACACCCGCCTTCCTCTCTCTCTCTCTCTCTCTCTCTCTCTCTCTCTCTCTCTCTCTCTCTCTCTCTCTCTCTCTCTCTCTCTCTCTCTCTCTCTCTCTCTCTCTCTCCTCGCCTCCCGTACCCCCTGTCCCCTACCGCCTCCCGCGTCCCCTCCTCCCTGCCCTGTCCCCCAGCAGCGCCCCCGCCTCCCCCAGCCGCAGCGGGCGGGCACCCTCTGCGCAAGTCCCTGGCACCATGCGTGGCATCGCAGTACAACTACCAGGAGGTGCAGGCCGCCACGCACCCCTTCTCCTCCCTCTCGCAACACCTCTCACGCGCCTCAAAACTCTCTCCTCTCTCTCCTTCCCCTCTGCTTCCCTCCCCTTTTCCCACTCCCCATCCCCCCTCCCGCGTTTTCCATGGCCCTCCTCTCAGCAGCGCCCCCGCCACCCCCAGCAGCAGGCGGGTACCCGTTGCGCAAGTCTCTTGTCCCAGGAGTGGTGTCGCAGTACAACTACCAGGAGGTGCAGGCCGCCACTCAGTCCTTCTCCACAGAGATCGGCCGCGGGGGCTTCGGCGTGGTGTTCCATGGGCGGCTGGCGGACCCCCAGGGCGGCCCGGCACACGAGGTGGCGGTGAAGCTGATGGCGGAGGACCACATCACCAACGGCATCGACAGCTTCATTGTGCGTGCCGTGCACGGGGTCTTGTGCGCATGCACATGCACATGCATGCACGCTCGCATGCACCCACTCACACAAGGAGGGTGGGATGTGAAGTTGAGAGTATGGCGCTTTTCACTGCTCTCCGTTATCCCTACCAGCTGCCTCCCTGCAGCCTGCAGTAACTGCCACCACCCTCATTCTCCCCACGCGCATCGTTCCCCTCGCGCTCCTCTTCCCTTGCTTGCACAGACGGAGGTGGGGGTGATGGCGCGGGTGCACCACCCCAACATACTGCGCTTGGAGGGGTACGTGGTGGGCGCCACGCCCATCCTCATCTACGACTACGTCTCCATGGGGGACGCCTCCACCTACCTCGCTAAAGGTGCGCCTGTGCCTCACCTCCTCGTCTTCCTAAAGGTGCGCCTGTGCCTCACCTCCTCGTCTTCCTAAAGGTGCGCCTGTGCCTCACCTCCTCGTCTTCCTAAAGGTGCGCCTGTGCCTCACCTCCTCGTCTTCCTAAAGGTGCGCGTGTGCCTCACCTCCTCGTCTTCCTAAAGGTGCGCCTGTGCCTCACCTCCTCGTCTTCCTAAAGGTGCGCCTGTGCCTCACCTCCTCGTCTTCCTAATGGTGCGCCTGTGCCTCACCTCCTCGTCTTCCTAAAGGTGCGCCTGTGCCTCACCTCCTCGTCTTCCTAAAGGTGCGCCTGTGCCTCACCTCCTCGTCTTCTCCTCCCTACCTCTCCTCCTCTGCTTCTTCCTCCCCTCCTTTTACTCACGTATTCTCTGCCTTGTCTTTTCATTTCCTGCCCCCGTCCTGTCCCCGTCCTGCCGCCCCGGTGCCATGAACCATCTCCTCTCCTCCCTCCTCTCCTCCCCCCACTTCACCTCCCCTCTATTCCCCTCCCCTCCGATCCCCTCCCCATCCCTCCGCTTCCCTCCCCTTCTTATCCATCCTCTCCTCCCCTCCATTCCCTTCCCTTCCCTCCCTTCCCCCTTCCCTTCTCCCTCCCTCCCTCCCCTCCCCCATCAGCGGCGCGGGGCGAGGTGGCGTTCACGTGGAAGCAGCGGGTGGTGGTGGCGCTGGGGTGTGCGGAGGCGCTGACGACCATCCATGCCAACAACTTCGTGCACCGCGACTTCAAGACCACCAACGTGCTGCTCCGCCAGGTGGGGAATACCACCATGCTGCACCGCACTGAACCGCTCTGGGTTGGATAGAAAGGGGCAGTTGGAGCGGTGACGAGCATCCCCGACAACAAATTGGTCCACCGCGACTGCACGGCCACCCACGTGCTGCTCCGCCAGGTGCGCGGCAGGGGGAGAGGCAGGGGGAGAGGCAGGGGGAGAAGCAGGGGGAGAGGCAGGGGGAGAGGCAGGGGGAGAGGCAGGGGGAGAGGCACGGGGAGAGGCAGGGGAAGAGGCAGGGGGAGAGGCAGGGGGAGAGGCAGGGGGAGGGGCAGGGGGAGAGGCAGGGGAAGAGGCATGGGGAGAGGCAGGGGGAGAGGCAGGGGGAGAGGCAGGGGGAGAGGCAGGGGGAGAGGCAGGGTGAGAGGCAGGGGGAGAGGCAGGGGGAGAGGCAGGGGGAGAGGCAGGGGAAGAGGCAGGGGGAGAGGCAGGGGGAGGGGCAGGGGGAGAGGCAGGGGGAGAGGCAGGGGAAGAGGCATGGGGAGAGGCAGGGGGAGAGGCAGGGGGAGAGGCAGGGGGAGAGGCAGGGGGAGAGGCAGGGGAAGAGGCAGGGGGAGAGGCAGGGGAAGAGGCACGGGGAGAGGCAGGGGGAGAGGCAGGGGGAGAGGCAGGGGAAGAGGAAGGGGGAGAGGCAGGGGGAGAGGCAGGGGGAGAGGCAGGGGGAGAGGCAGGGGGAGAGGCAGGGGGAGAGGCAGGGGGAGAGGCGGGGGGAGAGGCAGGGGGAGAGGCAGGGGAAGAGGCACGGGGAGAGGCAGGGGGAGAGGCAGGGGGAGAGGCAGGGGGAGAGGCAGGGGAAGAGGCAGGGGAAGAGGCAGGGGAAGAGGCAGGGGAAGAGGCAAGGGAAGAGGCAGGGGAAGAGGCAGGGGGAGAGGCAGGGGGAGAGGCAGGGGGAGAGGCAGGGGAAGAGGCAGGGGAAGAGGCAGGGGAAGAGGCAGGGGAAGAGGCAGGGGAAGAGGCAAGGGAAGAGGCAGGGGAAGAGGCAGGGGGAGAGGCAGGGGGAGAGGCAGGGGGAGAGGCAGGGGGAGAGGCAGGGGGAGAGGCAGGTGAAGAGGCAGGGGGAGAGGCAGGGGAAGAGGCAGGGGAAGAGGCAGGGGGAGAGGCAAGGGAAGAGGCAGGGGAAGAGGCAGGGGGAGAGGCAGGGGGAGAGGCAGGGGGAGCGAGGCCACCAACGTGCTGCTGAGCCAGGTGCGCGGGGGGGAGATATGTGTGCGCAGTGCAACGAGGTGAGGGGTGGGTGGAAGGTGGGGGGTGGGAGGGAGGTGTAAGGGAGGAGAGATGGAGGGGGGGAGGGTGGTGTGAGGGGGAGGGAGGTGGGACGGGGAGGGAGGTGGAAGGGGAAGGGAGGTGTGTTTCGCTGCTCCAAGAGGTGGATGGAGGGTAGAGGGGGAATAGCAGACAGGTGCGGTGCAGGTATCAACATGCTGTTGCGAGAAATGCCGGGAGGAGAGTGGCAAGGGAGAGGGGAGGGGACGAGAGTTGAGGTGTAGGAGAGTGCGGTGAGGATGGGAGAGCAGAGCCAGGTGCGGTGAGGATGGGAGAGCAGAGCCAGGTGGATGGACCTGGCCTCCTCCCTCCCTCCCCACTCCTCCCTCCCCCCTCCTCCCTCCCCACTCCTCCCTCCCCACTCCTCCCTCCCCACTCCTCCCTCCCCACTCCTCCCTCCCCACTCCTCCCTCCCCCCTCCTCCCTCCCCACTCCTCCCTCCCCACTCCTCCCTCCCCACTCCTCCCTCCCCACTCCTCCCTCCCCCCTCCTCCCTCCCCACTCCTCCCTCCCCACTCCTCCCTCCCCACATCACAGTGATGCCTCCTCACTGTGCTGTGCGCACCTCCCTCCGCACTCCGTCATCGCCACCCCTCTGGTCCATCCACGTCAGCATGTCTCCGCGGTGCAGGCAGAGAGCTCACCTCACGCCACTCGTCCCTCCCCCCCCAATTCCCCTGCTCCCCTCCTCCCGCCCCCCTCGCCCCACACAGGACCTCACCCCGGTGGTGGCGGACTTTGGGTTGGCGAGGGCGGTGGACGATTGGAAGACGCACGTGCAGACGAGGGTGATGGGGTCCATGGGCTACATCGACCCCATCTACTTCGACTCCGGTCAGTGCTGTGCTACACTCCCAAGGAGAAAGGGGGGCTCGGGGGTTGTCTGTCTGGGGCATGGGATGGGCGTCCTGTGATGAGCGCCGGGGGCTCTCCTTCCTCCGGCGCTATACTGGCATCCTCGGGCAATGGCTTCACTAAGGCGACGGTGCTTGCTGGGAGGGGAGGTATGGGGTACAGCAACCCCGTCTACTTAGAGTCCCTCCAGTGGGGCCCCATGCACGCTGTCATGCACCCTCCTGCGCACTTCATTCTACATTTCGTGCATCACATTTTCCCGGGCACTGGTTGACTGCAAGGCAAGGGTGGTGCGGTGTATCGGCCCCATCTATTTTGGTTCCAGCCAGTGATCCTGTGACCCCCTACTCCGCCCTAGCTTCACACGCTACATGTCTCGGGCAATGGGTTGATCAAAGGGCGACGGCCATGGGGTCGGTGGGTTACCTCAACCCCATTCACTTTATCGCTGGCCACTGCCCTCTCGCTCACTGCATTTGTTGTTCTCTCAGTCTTGTTTGCGCCGAGTCACTCGAAGTCCTACTCAAGGGCCGTGCGAGGGGTTGAGGACCACCACAGTCCATCTACTTCCACTCTCGTCACTCACACCCTTTGCCTTGCCCTAAGCTCAAGCACCCTTCCATTCCCACTGGACCCACCCACATGCCATGTCCCACCCACATACCATGTCCCACTCGCATGCCATGTCCCACCCAAATGCCATACCATGCTGTTTAGTAAACTCCAAATTCACCTCAACATCCTGCTCCCCATCCGATTCCTCCTCTCCACACCTACCTCCCCCTCTGCCCCTCTCCCCCTCCTCCAGGCATGTTGAGTTTCAAGTCAGACACGTACGCGTTCGGCATCTTCCTGCTGGAGCTGGTGTCGGGCTGCTCGGCCCTGGACGCGCGGTTCAAGGACCTCCGCAAGCTGGTGACGGCCAAGGACTTCCCCGACCCCACTCTCGTGGTGGACCCGCAGCTGCAGGGCCAGTGGCAGCTCAAGCAGGTGCTCGTGGCGTTCACGCTCATCAAGTTCGCCATCTTGTTTGACTGGGAGCACCGGCCCGGCATGGATGTGCTCTGTGATAAGCTAAAGAACCTCATTAATGACATGTGAGGGGGAGGGAGCGGGGTTGAGGGGCTAGGAGTGTTGTATTGGTGAATGTGGTGGTAGGCTAGAACGGGTGCATGTTGTTAGAAAGTCAATGTAGTAATTATGTATGCTCATGTACAGGAAGTGTGTTGCTCATGAGTAGAGTTAAGGCTGAGTTTGTACATGTATAATATTATAAAATTGTCCGCATGCACGGCAAATTGTGCTCGAAGTTAGTGGGGCTGAGAGAACACGCACTGAGAGGCTGGGTGGTGCTGGGACCAAGGGGTTGCGGCGATGCAGTACGAGGGGGTAGAGATGCAGTACGAGGGGGTAGAGATGCAGTACGAGGGGGTAGAGATGCAGTGAGCGGGAGGAGAAACAGAATGCAGGATAGAGAGGGGGGGAGGGCGGGGGGGTGTGAAGATGCAGTGATGGGGGGAAGATGCAATGAGGGGGGAGGGAGAGGGAGGAGATACAGAGAGCAATAACGTCAGGGTAGAGAGTGGGGGAGAGTACATGGGCTTGAGAGGAGAGCATGGTGCGAGGAGGGGGAGAGGAGAGCAACGATTTGCGAGTGATCTCTGAGACGAGGGTACAGGAATGACAGCGAGTCAAGGCCAAAGAAGTACCGACTTAACAATCTTCTCAACCTGCTCCTCACTCACCCCCCCCACCTCTCTCCTACTCACGCCCCGCCCCTCTCCCACTCACGCCCCCCCTCTCTCCCACTCACGCCCTACCACTCCCCCACTCACGCCCCGCCACACCTTAGCGCCGTGGCCAGTGCTCATCCCTGGATGCAACAGTCCTGCACACGCCCTTCAACAGTCCAGCACACGCCCTTCAACAGTCCAGCACGCGCCCTTCAACAGTCCAGCACACGCCCCTCAACAGTCCAGCACACGCCCTTCGACAATCCAGCACACGCCCTTCAACAGTCCAGCACACGCCCTTCAACAGTCCAGCACACGCCCTTCAACAGTCCAGCACAGGCCCTTCACCTCCCTTCGCTCCTAGCGCCCTGCCTGCCACGTGCCTCCTCCCGATCCTCCCGCACCCCTCTTCACCGCTTACCGTGCCAGTCTCCCGCCCTCACACCTGCCTGAGCGGCCCTGCCCCCCTCGTCATCACCTCCTCATGCCCCCGCCACCCCAACGCCTCTCCTCGCCACCTCCCGTCATTTCCCTGCCTCGCGTCCATCTGATGCCTCGCGTCCATCTGATGCCTCGCGTCCATCTGCCCACCGAGATGCCACCCCCTCGCTCACCCCCTCGCCGCGCACGTCAATGGAGAATCCCCTTCCACCCATCCCCCTCCCCATTCCCCCACCGTTTCCTTCCCCCCCCCCCCCCCCCCCCGTGTTTTGGCATGAGTGTGCGCGTCTCACTGAACCGTTCGCCATCCACGTGGCTGGCATGCTGTCACTCTGCATGTCCACCTCCCACCATTGCTGCATGCATCCAACATGCGCTCTTCCATCGTCTAGTAGCCTCCTCCCCTCCTACCCTCCTCCCCTCCTTCCCTCCTCCCCTCCTTCCCTCCTCCCCTCCTACCCTCCTCCCCTCCTTCCCTCCTCCCCTCCTCCACTCCTCGCCTCCCCTCCTTCCCTCCTCCACTCCTCGCCTCCCCTCCTTCCCTCCTCCACTCCTCCCCTCCTTCCCTCCTCCCCTCCTCCCCTCCTCGCCCCCCCTCTCACCCGTCCAAGCACCCCCTTTTCCGCCTGCCTCTGCGCCCACCAACCCTTGGTGCGCCCCTCATGCTCCCCATCTCCCACCCGCACGTCT